TCTGGCTTCTGAATGAATGCAAAAATACATCCTGCAAGTTTTTTTTCTTCTGAAAAACTAGTAGAGTATTAGTAGGAAAAAAAACGACAAAATACCCATGATGGCCACTGGATTTCAACAACAAAAACACACACTTCAAATGAATTAGGGCATGGTGTTTCAGCAAATTTAATATAGGAAATAACAAACTCCAGAAAAGAATGCAGCAGAAGAGGACTAAATGGGACAGTGGGTACACTTAATGTTTCGTGTGACCATTACATTGAGGAGGCGAACACAGTGGTGACAACACAGTCGGTGCATATCAGCCAAGCTAGAAACGGCCGGAAGACCTACAAGGGATGCCAACGCATATTCGTGTACGTAGAGATTTTGTCCCGGACCATGCATTTCTCCAGGGGAACAATTGATTTTCCCACTTTGAATTCCCCGGAGTGAATTTTCCCATTCCCGGAGTTTTCCATTCCGTTAAACAAAACTACTGGACGCAACAAGAATATCCGATTTTTCTCCGGCACGAAAATACTGGGGCCGACCTGAGGCGGCAGCGGCGAGGGCGCATACCCACGTGAACCCGACAGCGCTACAGTACGAATTATCAGTATTAAAAGCCGTATCTTTAACCTTCAGAAGTAACTACACATGCCCTTCGTCAGCACACTTGAATTAATATGTTTTTGGTGAGCCACTTAAAGCACAGCACTCCTGGTCAAGTGTTGGAAGGAAGAAAATAAGAGCGCAGTGCGAGGCGCCCCCGGCTCTCGGAGCCCAATAGCGAAACGCTCATAGCTCGCGATGAACACTCCAGCAAAAAAGACTGCGTCGTGGTTCTCATCGCGGTCCTACAGCATTATTATACAGAATTAATTTCCCTTTTTTAAAAAAAAGATCTAAAATATCTAACGAGCGCATTTTTAAAACAAATCTGTTGAAGTGGTAAAGCTCACGATATTAATGATCCCCCCCCTTATTTCATTTCAGCATCCAACAAAAGTAGGTTGTTCGCAAACAGGACAGGCACAGAAGGGTAGCATCACGCTGAATAAACGGGGTTGTTTTCCCTCGGTCAATCAATGTGTAAATTAACGTGTGGAATTCATCTCACTTTGTAGTTCTGGTGTTAAACGTTGACATAGTAAGGGTCTTCAAAAGTGTAAATAGATTTCACATTCATTCAAGATCGATTATTTTGAGTGGGTGGCCTGCTGTAGCTTTGCAGCGTCTGAATAACCGATAACATACTGTAATATTAACTCGCAAAAAAAAAGGGTTTTTATGAATGTTATTTTATGAATGCATGTTGTCACAACGTTATGCATTATACATTTGAGTTATTTATGAAGGGGTTTCCCGAACCTTTGCTATTCTTTCGGATGCCGTAATCTCCTTCATAACAATCTGAGTTTTTCACGCCGACTATAGCTCAGAACAGGTTAATCGCGGAAAATGTTGTAGTAAATACAAATGCACTGGGCGACTGCCCAAACAAGGTTAAATGGCGCACGTCTTTGAAGCCGTTAATGACTACGTCTGCTGCTACTAGTAGTACATTAGCTGCAAATACCAGCGCTGTTTTAAGGAAACACTCACGTTTGCTTGAAGACGCCGCCGACGGAGCTGCCGATCAGCAGACAGAACTGCTGCGAAAAGAAGACCCAGGTGATCTCCTGCAGGGTTGACTGTGTCTGGCAGCGTAGGTCCAGGATGGTGGGACCCAGGAAGGCGATGCAGAGCCCGAAGCTGAAGAACACGCTCCAGTAAGTCAACGTGTGCAGCAAGTTCCGTTTGAAAAGGGTCCAAATCCGTTCGTCCCACATTGCGCTGGCGGACAGGGAGTAGAGTCTCCCGAACTCCCAGCTGAAGTGTGTGTGAGGGGGGTGGGCGCTCAACCCAGAAAACTCCGGGCAAGGGCTTCAGCCGCGGACGAGACGGAATTACACTTTCTGTGAGGGTAGCTGGCTGGCTGGCTGGTTGGTTGGTTTATAGGTAGATAAGCAAGCAGGCAGGCAGGGAAGGAGAGGGGAGGGAAATGTGCCGCTGAGCTGCAGTCGCTGGCTTGCACTTTTCAGGTCACGTCTTGCCTACCAGTAAATATTTTTAATTTTTCATCACGACCAACTTTACACACTTTTCAGGCTCCGCCCTTGCGCTGTACGGTGCGGCTCAGACAGTGCCACTTGTTCTGGTTTAATATTCACTACGGTGAAATCAAACAGGCAGCCGACCTGTCCGTGTTCCGCGCAGTGGCAGGTGAGGTGCTCTAGCACGGTATATAAAGCAGACCTGCGGATTCCCACCCCTTCTGGGTGTCTGCGCTGGTGAAACAATTATGACTCAAAGTTAATGCTTAAAGCGGCGTCTCTCGCTTTGATAAGCTGCTGTGTTTTTCTTAATTGTAAATAATTTCCCACTGGGTAATTAATTCTGTCTAAGGAATGGTTTTGCGGTTTTTGTTTCTGCTGACATGCATCCGGTCCCGTCGCTGGTATTGACCAATACCCTCCGAAACTCCCCCCAAAAATAATGCTGGGGAAGAGAAGACGAATCTTAACAACCAGGACAGTATGTAACATTAAAATTCGTTTTTGTTTCTGAAAGTTGCGAATGCTTCAAGCGCACGAATTGCCTACGTTATTGAACGGCAGATTACGAAAACAATCAAGATGCTGCTACTAATCAAATCTAAACGAATACGTTGAGCATGTAGGAATTTCTTTGTATTAACATCTTCTGTATTCATACAGTATGTGGCAACGTAACTCCCCGGTTTATATTTCCCGAAAATGGGAATATTCTACCTATTGAATTACTGAAATGTAAACGTTTGATGTCTGACGGAGGAAATGTGACCTAATTGGGGATCTGTGGTTATGGCAGTGGTATCTTCTATCTTAGTTTACTGCCTTTGATCAACGGGTGACTTTGTTCTAACTTCTCTTCACGCAAGCGGAGGATCGCTGTTCTATGCATCCTGCGACCCAGTCAGTTTGAGCGGGCTGCGTAATTTATATGTATCGTAATTCTGCTCTCCCAGTAATCTTGACCGAAAAGGCCCGCACGGTAGCGCGTCCGTCGGAAAGGAAGGCAAGCGTGACTGATGTCGGGGGGCCGGTGACTTACACAAGGCGCACCTGTTTTCCAGGGAACACTGCCCGATTCATTTAGAATGACAAAAGAGTACTGGAAACAACAGAGGCCTTGTTAGGTACACGTCCACCAATCCGATTCATTTAGTGAAAATCCGGCAGATTGGGGAAAAAATCTGTTCACTGCGATCTTTAAGGGTTTGTAGAAGAAGCTGTACTGTAAATCGCAGCATATTTGAGAGCACCAATGTTTTGTACGCATTCGCTGTATGCGATGTTTTTCTTCAATCTTCGAAATTCCTACGCAACGACGAGGAGATCTTCCACGTTGGGTGTGGGCGAACAGGCTGTCACAGGATCAATTAAATAACAGCATCTTAAGTCTAAAAAGCAGAATTTGAGTTTTATGTCAGTTACTACTCGGTGGTTAAATCTCGCACGTGAACTCCTGTAAGAAAAATAAACACGTTTTTGGGCTCGTGTAAATATCGACCTCGTGTTTGATCCTCTGAGTCAGGCCTGTGCTACTGTATATGTTGCGGTATGTGTGTGTGTGCTCAGTTTTGTACTTGGTGTTGTGTTGCATACTTACCATGATAGTGTGTATGTTTAAGATGCTTATGTCGCCGTCTTCTGTGCTTACTTTGGGGACATTCATTAAAGATGTACCTGGACATCAGTGAGCAACCAGTACCCTGTACCTATACCAGCTCAACTGGTAATATTTTTAAATGACGAATTGTTCTCTTCTTTTTGTTGTTTTACTGTTCTTTTAACATAAATGAGGAATATAGAATGTGTGAGTTTTGTTCAATGATAGGAAACAAAATGACCATTGGTTTGAAAGGGAAAAAAAAAGCTTAAAACAAGATGAAGGTCATAGTTTAATAATTTATTGAAACCTTTGTTATTCTTATCAGTTTTGGCTTTGAAGTAGTCACAATACATTCAGCTTCAGTACAACTTTATAGAATAAGGAAATCACACAAAATATTTAATATCACGTTTCATACAAAATCTAAATATATTGTATTTATAAAACATTTAGACATTCATCTACAGAAGTTTGAAACAAATGGCAGTTTCTTTTATTATCTTTCATAAAAGTCTCCATAAAACAAAAACTTTTAAATTACATATCCTTTCTTTTAGTTACATGTACAGTATGCAAAATAGCTTCAAAATACTCAGATCTGCTTTCCCACAACAAACAAATACAGAAATTCACTGGCTCAAATGCTGCAAGAATAAAATAATTTATTCCAAATTATACTTGATTATTATTTTATAGCTTAACATTAATTTATTGGTACATTAAAACAGCACAGAAGATTTTCCCACGGGGGTGTTAGTATCTAAAAATGTCCATGCCCCATTGTCATCCAATCCCATCTTAATGAAAGTTATTGATATTATTACTATGTCTGGGTAGTAAAAACTTCACTGCATGCTTTAATTGAGTACAAGTGAATGGACCCAAAAATATTGCACTAGGGATGTTGCAGTTACGGTTTTTGTAAAAGCAGAAGCGGTTTGCAGCACAATGGAACCAAAAGCACAAGAGTCCCTGCAGACAGCAGGTCTGCAAGTGGAAATGCACGGTTACGTTCACAAGGTCTAAAGTGCAAATGAAGATGATGTGCATTTCGGACTGAAAAAGGGATGCACTTTTTACACAAAGTGCAGCAGAGGTCTGGAGCAAGCTAACCAGATACGTAGGGTGCAGCGTGGTGCAGTGGCGAGGATTTTAGAGTTGGAACTGGAAAGGTCAGGATGGTGGGGGCAGTGGTGAGCGTTAGTGTCTCGCAACACAGGGGCTCTGAGGTGCTGTCTGCGTGGAGCTTGTATGCTCTCCCTGTGTTTGTGTGGGTTTCCTCCCACAGTCCAAAGACATACTGGTAGGCGAATGGGCTTCTGGGGAAGTTGGCCCTGGTGCGAGTGTGTACGTGTGTGTATGTGCCCTGTGTTGGACTGGCATCCCGTCTGGGGTGTACTCTGCCTTGCACCCTTTGCTTGCTGGCATGGGCTGACCCTGTGTTGGATAAAGCTATTATATTAAATGGAAGGTTATGTGTTCAAATGCCAGGAAAGACAGCAGTTCTACCTGTGAGAGAGGTACAGTGCTTCACCCAAGAACTACAGCAGCTTGTAAAATTTGTACCACCAGTAAAATAGCTAGCTTTGCAAATATAAAGCATTATTTGATTATTAATTCGTAAATTCCCTTGAATCCTTTAAGAAACAGTTAGGTAAATTCCTTGGATCAGTAATCTGCTAGTAACTAAACAAGTAGTTCAGGCCAGAAAAACAAGACACAGAAGTTCACCTTTGTAATATTTGGTGTAATATAGTCAATATCCTGCTTATGTTAAGATGTGTTATATGAAGCCAACACCCTGATTTCTTTTAAGAAATGGCGGGATGAGATCCTTGGCTCAATTAGCTCTTAACTTCCAAACAAACTAAATAGGCCACATGGTCTTCTCTTTTTAAAATTCTTAATGTCAGTGCAATTGATGTGATATACTCTGGTAAACATTAAATTGAATTAAATTAGGCTAATAATACTGTCTTGGTGGCAAGGCGTGAGCATGGTGGCCTTGACATTTGTCCATAATCTGATCATATTTTTACACCCTTTACTCTGACAGCCAGAGAACTCTCTGTATTCAAGGTTGTTCCAGAATCAGGACTTTGGGTTACTGTGAGGTATAGGCTACAGTGGCAGTGCTTTATCAGAAATATTCCTCACAGCCTGCCAAGATTCCTTGCCCACCTATAAATGGAAATGGAAGAAGTAACCTAGAAGTGAAAATGGACAACTGTCCCTTGTTGTCACATCACACAGTGGTGAATACAAGCATGCTTGCATCTTGTTTAGAGACAGGATACGTGGGATGGAGATTCCTGGAAGGAGCTGTGATAATAAAATGAGATGGAAAGCTAATGAAAGCAAAACACAAATTCGAGCTGTTTGTACACAGCCGATCCTGGGACTCTGTACGGTCAGCCATTGCGGAAAGAAACGCAAGCTTCTGGCTGGGACAAACTTCCCTCGATGCTGCACAACAGGGATGAGAAAAGACAGAGCTTGGACATTGTGTTCTAAATCGAGGAGTTTTTGCTTTGATTGCAGGTGGACTTGATAGTCATATTCCTGTGCTGGGGTCTGATCTGTCTCCATTCCAGATGATGTCGAGGCACGTAATGAGGTCCCAGCTGCTGCACCAACAGGAGTTTTGTCTGATTTCTTAGGGGGGAATCCAGTCTGCACCTCTGAACCACTGCAAACCCACTCCCCTGATGGGGTCCCACTCAGGAAAGCGGGGGGTTACCGATAGTCGCTCATCTTTCCCAAATGACCTGTATCTTCTGGAATGGAGGACACCCTCCACCCCTTGCAGCACCCCGTTTGTAATGAGTTTAGAATATACTCTGTCGGCGATTCTTTCCACGAGCTGAATGAAATACAAAACCAAAGCCTTCATTATTTTTAAAGTTGATTCCTGCCCTGAACCTGAACCTGCAAGTCACTATCTAAAGCTTTCCTTTTCTGTCTCTGGAGAAAAGACAAGCAAACAGTGTTTAGGAGATCTTAAAAAACCATTCACTACTCTTTAACTCACCTTGAGACAAATGTAAATAAAAGAGATTTAGATAACCCTGTGCCAAGTTTCACGGTAAGGTTTCTGTTCATAAGTCATGCCTTTGAGTCTGTGTAATGTTTTTTGATATCAGTAATACTATTGTCATTTCGAGATATGAAATGTGTGGTTGGGCATAAACTTGGCCAGAGAAGACTGCAGGATACTAAAATAAAGCCTAGTAAAGAAACCTTTTCCTTAACCTGTCTTGTAATTGTTAGTAGCCGTCTCAGGCTGTGATGTTTTTGAAGCGGTGAGCTCACCTGCTTGCTGAAAGACGGATCCCCTGTATCCCGGATCCTTCTGTAGCTGCACTTCAGGCAGAGAGAACACCGAGGCATCTGCGCACACAAGAGGCACTCGTTGGTTGCCTGTTTTTCAACATCCGTCACTGTGTCGTTTTTAGGAGACTATCCTGATCCTCGGCTTCGAGCAGGGTGGAGGAGTGGGGTTTGACAGGGGGCCTGGGTGAGTTTCGAGGCCAGCCCAGAGAGGTTACTGGTACAATTAAGCAGTAACAGAGGCAATAAGAACCTTTGGTTCTCAGGAGCCCTTAACTGGGAGTTCTTGCTTTGCAGTTGTGGCGCTACGTGTGTCGCGGTTTTTAATAAAGATACATTTTAAAACTTTTCAAAAACTTTGTAAGTAAGTGGGCCTTTCCCATTTGCCAGGAGAGCAAAAGGAAATATTTTCACAAGCTAAACAACAATTGATGAAATTATATTTAAAAATAAACAAGCTATCAAACGGTTCTTACTGTCCAGCAATGAGTGGATCCTTTCTCCTAGGCTGTTGAAATAAACATGTCTCAGTGCGTCTTCTGCTGAAATTCGGCTTTTCGCCTCGTACTGTGTGGGCAAAGGAAGAGAGTCGGGTGAATTAAGCAGACCAGAAACAGCGCCACCTAGCTTCCCAGAGTGCTGAACATCCACGCGGAGCCCCTAGTTTAAACTCAGCTGGCAGCCGAGTTCTGCTGTGACCTGCTCTAACACAGGGGCCCGCCCTGAAGAGCTCTAGGTGCTACCAAGCATATGAGTTAAAAAGCCTGAATATCGCCAAAAAAACATGATTCGTAATGTTTTTTTTATTGTGAAAGTTCACATATCATAAAAAGCTTAGAGATTATTTCTTTTGCAGGGGCTGTATAAAATACAGTTTAGTATTATAACTTTGTGTTGGATTTCTGGAATGTCTAGAACCCTTTACAAGCAGTGGTCTGCTTTTTATCATGCAGATTAGTCATCCTCAGTTGTGAGAGAATTACAAGTCCATAAGTGATTTTACAATTTGCACAAAAACATTGATCTTTTATCCATCTGTCCACTTTCTAACTGCTTCTTCCAATTCAGAGTGGCAGGCTGGAGCCTATCCTGGCAAGCAGCATGTGTGCTCTGGTCCAGACGCCAGTCCATCGCAGGACACACTCACTCCAGGGCCAGCTCTCCCACAAGCCAGCGAGTCTACCAGCATGTTTTTGGACTGTGGGAGGAATTCTCTTTTATCTTAAATGGAATTTTCTTGTGAAAATCTTTCAAAATTGCATACAGCTGCTTTTGTATAGGTACAAATAACAGAACAAATACTGTTGTAGCTCCTGTTATTTTAAGTGTTAGATTTTGCATGATGTTGTTTTAATTAATAAGCTAGTTTGATCTTAAATGAAAAAGAGGATGACGTTGATGTTGCATTTTTATATGAAATACACCTATATATACAGTTATATATTTTGGTTTGGTTGGGGACATTTGCGGAGATTTATTTCCCTGAAAGGTGTGACAGAGTCCTCTGCTCAGAGCCTCTTCAAAGCAGGAAAGACCAGGGATTCTGGGTTCCGCTGTTGAGCTGTCATCGGGTAAAAATGGAAACAGGAGTTTTCTATATGACTAATCTATACCTTCTCTTGGTGTTGTCTTTGGTTTGTTAAAATAATTTTCATTTACGCACAATTATTCTGAGACTGCAACAGAGCGGTCTCTTCATCCAGTTGATAATTAGCACTTGTTCTTATCGCATAGCTCCAGAAATACTGGTCGATAGAGTGACCATAGTCTCTCCACACCAGCCAGACCTCGTAAATGTCTTATGGCTGCAATGCTTTTTTTTCGTTTTCCATTTCATTTTTTGTCCTTTGTTCACAAAGTACAACAAGAAGCTGCAAAAAATACAGAGTAACAACAGACAATGGATAACTGTAGCTCCAGAAAAGGGAGCTCTGTGATTCTGAGAATGATCTCAACCCTCTGTCAGCAAGTACAGTAAGTACAAGAAATCACAGTGCTCGTAGTGCGGATTTCATCAGGTACATGACGGTTAGTTTTTCCCACTGACAACATGGTGTTCTTTATTATCACTCTGCCCACATAATTCCCTCTGCTACCAAAACACTGCTGTGTAAAACTTGCAACATGTCCTCCTGGCTGCAGCAGAAATGAGTGATCTGACTTGGACTGATTGCTGTTGAGGTTGAACTTTAAACTGAAACGGTCTCCATTCTGAAGCAAAGCCTGTGAGAGAATCAAATGAGCGTTTGTGTGCCAGCCTTGCTTCACCAAGCGTGAGACACTATCACTTCCAGGGCCACCGAGAGGAGGCTGCTGGGAGGTTGCAACACCACGACACTTATACAAGTCATTTTTATTTATATAGCACCTTACATGCCATAGCAATTCAAAACCCTTCGAAATTAAAGCGACAAGAAACATGAACGTAAGAATGATAAAAATCATAATAAAACAGCATGGGTGGCACCATGGTGCAGTGGTTAGCGTTGCTGCCTCTCAGTGCTGGGGGCCTGGGCTCAATTCCTGGGGTCCTAACTGCATGGAGTTTGGATGTTCTCCTTGTGTTAGAGTGGGTTTCTTCTGGGTATGCTGGTTTCCTCCCACAATCCTAAGGTAGGACTGGTAGATTCGTTGGCTTTTGGGAAAATTGGCACTGGTTTGAATGTGTGTGTTTGTATCTGTGTCTGCCCTGTGATGCACTGGTATCAGGGTGTATCCTGTCTCGTGTCCATTGCTTGCCGCAATAGGCTTCAGCTCCCCTCGACCCTGTATTGAAAAAGGTGGTTAGAAGATAGATGGGTGGATAAAACTGTAGGACTTAAAAGTGATTCAACAGAGATGGAAAACCCTGGTGAAGCAGACGTGTTCTTGGCCTTTGTTTTGACAGTAAGGCAGAGGGCGTGGGCTTTGCTCAGTACTGTTTAACTGTAGAGTGGCTGCACCTTCTGAAGGAGTGACAAATCTATGTGACAAAAATAGAGGCTATTCACTGCGCTGCAGAGTTCTGAAATTGCATCTTATAGTCTCTTATATTTGTCGTTTTGAGTTTGTTGATGTTATGGGTGGGTTACCAGAGATTGCACAGGAGAGAGAGTTCATTGCTTCTGTAAAGATATCAGTAGATGTGTCTATATTGTAAGGATTTCTCAGAACTAAGTATATAGACAGTTCACTCGCTTTATATTGTTCCTTGCAGCGTTTGAGCACTTGAGCAGACTTGGCACTGTACCTGTGAATGTTTCTACACTGAAGAATGAGTCAGTGTGCTTCCTATTACACGTCAAGGCAAACATTTACACAGCTTGTGATGTGCTTTACTGTGTTTACCATTTATTGTCCAGAATAATATAAAAGTTTACATGGTTAAACTTTTTGTGAGGTAATAATACCAGTGATAGGGTGAACAGCTTGTGCAGCTGTTGTCTGAAATAGCTAGTTGATTTTAAAATAGTCCTGTCCTCATTGTTCAAGGAGACGCTCACAAGTATAGCTGAGGTTTTGCCTGGGCTACCCGTCATGCCTGTGCTGGGTAATTGCATAAAAAGTCAAAGTGCGAGCAGTGAGAACTTGCACCTTCTAATCTCAGGAGGGACATGGGAGTCTGCAGCTCAGCAAACTGAATGGATACTCAAAATTGTGAAGAGCTCTTCCTTGGCATATGTTCATTCTTCAGCCTAAGACTTAAGAGAGCTCAGTGGTGTAGTGGTTAAGGTTCAGCACTCTCCCCTCCATAGCTCATATTCAGAGGATTTCCGATTTGGTCGGAGAAGAGACTGATCAGTCTTTTTGATCCAGGTATTAAAAATCCTCCAGGGCATCAACTAAACGATCACATTGAACGTCTTTACCAACAGTGCAACGTGCACCAGAGGTAACAAGTGCAAACGACGTAAAAATGAATTTTTGATTTTTGTTCTTTCGAGAAACAGCTGGATGAGATCTGGCTACAAAATGAGACAAAAGGCTCCTCTCGTTTCTAACCGTTGTTATGTTCTTATTTTTTTTCTATTAAAAAAACTTTATTAAAATTGTAAGGACTGTATTAAAATTGTTCCCAGGTGGTGAGAGACAATCTGGTGTTTACAATTACATGACCAAGATAAAAGGAACAGAAAAGCAGGGCTCTTACCAGTAAAAGGCTCCCAAGGAAGTCAATTCCCTCTGTATCTAACCTGCAATTAAATGTACAAAATAAATTGTGACATTCGGCAGATGGCAGACCAAGTGGAACAAAATGTACAGTGCAGGAATGGATTGTTTTAAAAGTAGTTGCCTACACACTTTTGCAATCTTCTAATTTCCTGGTCCTTTGAAAAGAACAAGCAATGAACCATTCAGCCTCTAGGTGGCGTGTGCTGAGCAGACAATGCTGGCAGACATACAATGCTTTCCTGTAATCCCACTAATACAGAAGGTGAGAACCAGCCTTTCTAAACACCCAGTCCTCTTTTGCTCTCCTCATATCCATCTGTCCTTCTAATTTTGTCTTTTCTTTGCGGTGCTTTTTTCTCACCAGTCATTCTGCCTGGCTCTTTTTCCACTTGTCTATAAATGTTATGGGCCTGTGTAAACAGTTCTTCTGTGGGTTTTGGAAACACTTTTTCTGGCATGGAGAGCTGTTACAACACGGATTAAATCACCAAACCGGTGCAGCTGGATCTTTCCAGTCATTAGCAGCTGAGCTTTAAGCAGAATCGCTTTGTGTCAATGGCCAGTTTGGATGGGGCCCATTGGCCAGTCCTCCCTGGATAATGTCCGCCTTACCTTGGCACATGGTTGATGAGGGGCTGTGGCCTGTAATGGGGGAAGTGGTAGGACTTGAATTCTGCGTTGGCAGTGATGCCGGGCCAGGTCTCCTCTGTAGGGGTCCCTGGAAGACAAGGCAGTGTGGTCACTGGCCCAGTAGGTTCCCAGTAAAGGTGCGCAGTCCCAGGGCAGGAGTGTCTGGAAACAGGGCTCAGCAGCAGCAGGCGGAAACCCCATCGGTGCACAGAGAGGCGCAGATAAGTGGGATAAAACTGATATGAAAAACTATGATTGTGCTATAATTAAAAGCCTTGGAAACAGATGGTAGAAGTGCAAATTTAGCCTTGCAGATATGCTGAGTTGAAAGAATCCACAGAAGTTATTACCTGAGGGCTGCATTTTGTGCATTAATTGGATGTTATTCCTATGAGCATCCCAATTTTGCAGTTAAGTGGTACACAGTGCCTGTTGAATTCTCCCCAACTCTGAAAGCAAGCTCTACCTTGGAGCTATGTCGCTACAATCCAGGTTTTTTGGTTTGACTGGAATTGTTCAAGAGGTGAATGATTTTTCATATGGCTGTTTAGATCTGGAATGGTCTCAGCAGGACAGCTGGCATGCTGTGAGCACCACAATGGGTATGTAGGGAGAAACAAAATCACCTGAGGTCTGGGGGGCCTGCTGATCCCAGAAGTGTGCTGCTTTGTTGGATATTGTGTTCTTCCTGAGCAATGGGGGTCAGAAGGGCCACGTTACATTCCTGTGAGAATCACAGTGTCATCCCCTTAATTTTCACTATCTTGCATTGTGCTGAATCCATATGAGGTTCAGGCCTTCAGAGGAAGAGCAGAGCAAGGCTGAGGCATGAAGAGAGCAGTGCAGTGAAACTCCCGAGCCATCTGTTTATATGGGAGAACATAACAGCCCAAACTAGGCATGGTGTTCGTGCAAGGATTGGTAAGGGCTTGGGATGAGTAAGGATCAATAAGACAGGGACAGTCTGTCTAATGAGCAGGAAGTCTAATCTGGGTAATGAGAGGACAGCCAGGGCCACATTCTGTTGCTGAAAAATCTAGCACATATTCTTCATGAAAACAGACATTTAGAAACATAGCTCCCTTTAAATGGAAGATCCAAATTTAACAAAGTGTAATGGCTGTCTGCTTTTATCATTAAGAATGAATGTATTCAATATTTTAGTTGTGGTTTTTGTAAACAATACACTGTATGTTGCCAGTGTGTTGAATATTGTCAGGATGTCTTGTTCAGCAACTGGCAAAAATAAAGGCACAAAAATTCTAACGCTTGTATCACTGCGGGACTGAATTGTGATTGAAACGGACAATGGGATAAGAGTCCAGCATGAAAAACCGTTCATCTTGTTGCACAATTAGCAAAGTTTAAACATTTTTAACTAGAAAACGGAAATGGCCCAAAGTACATTCAAAGGGATGTCGCGTGACATAAAAACAAACACAGAAAATGAGACACTAAAGATATTGATTAACGTAGATAGCTCCCTTTCATTTCCTGTTCATGAGTGGGTAGGAACTGTACTAACTGAGCCAGATGACTTATTGCTGGGTAATTGTCCACTGGGTTTTTCAGCTGCTGAAAAGTTACTCAGACTCGTTAAAATAAAACTGAATCAATTTTCTTTCTGAGAATTGTCTCATGTATTTTTCCACTGTGTGGATTCTGTCTGCAACATTTTGGCCCTGCGTATGTGCTCATGCAACTAATACAATTACTTTTTGCGTACCTTGTGACCTAATACCAAACCAAGTAGGAAGTTCAATGAAATAAGATGACTGATTCTTTACATAAGGCCAAAGTACACAGAATTCACTGGCTCATAAAGAGTAAGATTTCTAAACCAACCCTAGTCCAAGATACAGGTATATAGAAAGCCAGCTTCTAAAGGTATAGGTATATAGTTTTTTGCTTCAATAACATAATGGCATGTGAGGTACAGTATACATGTTTCTCATCAATTGTTTATACTATGTTTAGAAGAGCACTGATAATGATAAATAGTAAAAGAGCACAGGAAAACATCACATCAAATAGGATGCAACAGTTTAGAACTATACAACCCCATATGAGGGTTTGTATACAGTACATAAAATAAAGGGGGAGAATAGTGATGATTTTTGGTGTTAACTGGATTACAGGAGTGGTAAAGGCTTTCTTCCAACATGCTTCCTCTCTCTGGCATGATTGAACTTTTCTGCCGGGATTGGTGGTACAGCTGGATCACGATTTGCTCTCTGTACCCTCTGCAAGATTCCGGAAGCCCGTTCTGGGTTGTTGTCTTATTGCATTTTTCTCCATATTGAAGTCTGAGTTCAGACTTTGGCCCATACTGTTCCACAATGTATAAAAGCTCAGCCAAATTTCTTCTCACCAACAAATTAAAACCATTCAAGAAGAGAAGAGAAAAGATACAAAATCCTGGCTTGTTCATAAAATAAAGTGATACATTACAAACACATCCATCTTTTTAATATCTAAATTCCTTTTTCTAGAACTCTTGATGGGGGCTCTTGGTACAGAATCAGTGGGTTTTAGGTGCTAAGTCTCTTTTATCTAAGTTAGAGAAGGGCGTTTTGAAATTTATGAAACAGGTCGTCCCATGTGACTCCTGAGTCATCTGGTATTTGTTCCAGCTGTGTTCTTAATGAAGGGCTAATTGATTTCAATTTTCTGTCTACTGTAAGGCCTGTTTTTTACCTTTTCTTTCAGCTCTTAACAAGTTGAATGGGACTGAAACTGGTTTCAAGCTTATACTAATTAGTGAGATTCAGAACCACCCTCATTCAGGTATATCAGCTGAAATGGAAACAGTTGGACTTAAGTAGAAGGAATGAACACTGATTCATCGTGGGAGCTGTCTGATACTGTGTGATTCTCACCTGTGTCTGTTCACCATGAGTTGGTCACCCAAGAAAAGTTTTTTAGTGTGACATACAGTAAGACAAGAACAAATTGTTAATTAACAGATTGAGGACGGACTGCGGAAGGTTCTGAGTGCTGGAAATATTGTGCTTTGGCTGGAGTAATTTTGAAACTGAAGTCTGAGTGTAGAAAAGTGTAAAACTTCTAAACAAGGAAGCAAATGAGGTACTAGTTAAAACTGGTGGTTCAGTGGTAGTTGTAACGCAACCAAGCAGACACTGGAGTCCTTCAGGAGCAGGGTTGTGAATAGAAAATTCTGTAAAATAGAACGTTTTGCTTTTTATATAAAGGTAACCAAAGTTTGAGAGGAGAAACCACAAATCTTGATATGTTTTTAAATGAGTAACGTTATCTTGGTGCTTGCAAAATAGCGTAATAAGGATGTTTTTGTAAGGAATTAACTGAGAGATTCTGTTTGTGCAGTATGTGTAGAGGCACTATATTATTTTAGATGACGCATTTCCAAGAATAAAATACTGATCTGAAACTAATAAGAGATTACATGGCTCCATAAACTGGGGCAGTGTTCTCTGTAATTACGCCTACCGCTGCCTTTCTTGTTTTCGGTACCCATTCTGTAACAGCTACGTTCTTTCTACATTGCCGCCCAGTGTTCGTTTTGTCTACTGCAGCCGCAGCTCTCACCTAACAGCCGAAAGATCAAGTGAAGCTCCTCTTTGACGGTGGATCCAGGAAACATGGGCCTTCCCGTCACCATTTCGTACAGAATACAGCCCACGCCCCTGCAGGAAGCACCACAAGAACAATTAAACCTTACAAAACATACTGTAACTGAGCATTTTAACAAGGAATAGGTTTATTCCAAGCTGAAAAGAGAAGAAAGAAAACTCAAAGTTTCGGCTGTGGAGCCTTCTTCCAGTGTCATGCAGAGCTATGCTACAATAAAATACCCTCCCCCCGCCCCTGGCTTGACCAGTCTCCCACACAACATTGGCTTTTGCACTATGAAAGTCTGTTTCGGGCTCCTACTGGGGCACAAATCCCCAATTGTGTCAGATCCCTTTTGTGCCTGGTGCTTTATTTGCTCTTTGTGGTTGCTGTTTTTTAAATTAGCAAGACTCTACATATCTTTATTGTATGAATACATTTGTTACAAAAATTGACCACCCTGCTACTAAACTCATATTGTTTGCATTTCCAAAGAATTGATCCACCCAGTTCTCGGCTCATTTCCTCTTGTGTTTTTTTTATCCCCACTGTCCTCAAATCTATAGTGATTAATCTAAGACACGTCCTTCCTTAATTGATTTTAACTCTCACAAAACTCACTGCTGCACTGGAGCCAAGCTTTCTCTGAAGGCCTCTAATCAGATCAGTTTAGTGGCAGTGAAATACATATTGCGTTTTGATGTCAGAGACTCCCTTTGGAAACAAATTGTGGCTGTTTTTAAAAACTGATTTCTGAAATGCCTTGTGACCAGCTGATTGGAAAGGTCAGGCGTGAAAAACGTAAGGAAGAATACTGGCAAAAGATTGTTTTAATTATGCTCACTGTTTTAAGACGACAAGTCTACTACAAAATTAACCCAAACTCTCAAATGAGCTTTCTCCCAGATGTGATGGTTAAGGCACCGTTTGTCTGCAAACAGTGTTCTGTAATATATAACCAAATGTTATACGGAACACATCCGGTTTGTCTGTCAACGTTTGGCTAAAAAATGGCTTTTTAATATGTCCGGAAGGAAATGGGCCTGCCTTCGAAGAAAACTTAAATGACTGAGATGAGGCTTTTTTATGAAGGTACAGCGAGATCAAAAAAATACCTTGCCAGTCAAATATTGATGGAACTGTCTGTACTCTGTCACCCCTGACCTCTGGTTGTATTAACAGAGATAGGTTTGAAACGTCCACACATGGAGAAGAAAGTTTTGTTTGACATACTGTAGAGTTGACATAGGACTTTTCAAGTGTCACACAGCAGACCTCGATGTTAAGAACATTCGTGTTCCAATAAATTATCATTCAATCCAAAGAGTGCACCCAAATAACAACAGTAGGGCATTTATCTGACTCCTAAAATCTACAATGTTTAGAAATATTTGACCAGTTGATCACTGAAGACTGTATGACAATTTTTGAAAGAGTAGGGTTGTTGTTATCCTTGATGTCCTAACTTTTCCTCATCAATTCAAGTGGAGAAACGATCTCCCAGTTTGCACTGAGTGGCTGTTGTGAGTCACAGCAAGAGGGGGCAGCCCATAAAGTTATTCCTCTCCTATTTGTAAAGCTCTTTTTGAGATTTAGCACTATATCAATGAAATTAATTATTATAAATACACATACTGACCTATAATGAATTATTCTTAAACACTTACTGAAGCTTTAAGCAACAGTTTTGTTGCAAAAAAGTTTTCTGTATTTTAATGTCTGCTGCACTTACTTAATGTTTTTAAGACAGAAATTTGTGTAGTTTATTGAGAGTATGTGTAGGTGAGACGAGAGTTAAGAGTTGAGGTTTGTGCAAGGTTTGGGCAGATGTGAGGATTAGAATTCATTTAATGGATAAGGCTTGGGTGTGGGTTAGTTTAAGGATAGAATTAAGGAAAAATATAGGATTTGTAAGGAAAATCACATTGGTTAGGATTGGGCTTAAATTTATTTTAGGGATCTACCATAAACCTACTGCTGCAGGACAGTAGTAAGTATTACAGCCGTAATGGGTTCAGCCCCCGGGGAGCTGTGTTTGTGGAGTTTGTATGCCCTTGTTTGCGTGGGTTTCCTTGCTGGTGTAAGTGTGTGTGTCTGTGTCTGTCTGTGCCCTGGCTTGCGCCCAATGCTTGCTGGGATAGGCTCCGGCTCCCCTGTGACCCTGTACTGGATAGTACAGTGAGAAGCAGTGAGAAGGTGGATGGGTGAACCTACTGCAGTGTGATGGAACAGCACACTTCCCCCTTTGGCCCGGCTGCTGCCTGTCACACTCACCACATGTCGATCTGCGTGGAATACTCTGTGGAGCCCAGCAGCACGTCTGGGGGCCGGTACCACAGCGTCACCACCTCGTTGGAGTAGGTCTTCGTGGGCACCGACTTGGCACGGGCCAGGCCTACAGCAGGGAGCATGGCATCAGATGTTTTCTAGATGTTAGTTCTGATTGAACGGCTACTTAGCAAATATTCTTCTTGTTATACTTAACAGATGCAGCTTACATACTGTATAACAATTGTGACTTTTGCAGTGAAGTATGGTAAATGAAGCAATGCTCTGTGTCCAGATTTTGTAGAGACAGATGGTAGAGAAACTAAAACAACAGCTCCAGGTTCCCTGCTCGTCCCACCTCTTCAGGTGCTTTACAGAGACCTGCTGGTACACCAGCTCCCCCAAGGACAGGATCCCCTGGTTTAAGGTTTAGGACATTAACCACCCCCTGCCCCCTGCCTAAATGAGAACCATAGCAAGGGAAACGACTCTCTACTGGTCTCGGGGAAAGGCCTGTACCCCTCACACCGCAGTCTTACCAAAGTCGGCCAGTTTGAGCTCGCCCTTGTCGTTAATGAGCAGGTTCTGGGGTTTGAGGTCCCGGTGCAGGATCTTCCTCTTGTGGCAGTAGGACAGGCCTCGCAGGAGCTGGAACATGAAGATCTGTGGGACAGGGGAATTAGTTAGTGAATTAGTTCAGATTAGTTCTGAGATTAGTTCAAGGGTTCCCAACTCCGGTCCGCAGGACCTGGAACCCAGCAGGTTTCCTGTGCCACCTTAAATTGGTCAACACTCTTAGTCTGTAGAAAAAGGGATCCTCTGGTTCCTTACACCCAAACTGGATTAAGTGAAAACATCTCCCAGGTGACAAGCTGCGTGTAACTTAAAGAAGTGTAAAAAAAAGCCACCTGTTGAAGTCCAGACCCTGAGAGCTAGCACTGGGAACCATGATTGATATTCCTTCCACAATTCTTTCCAGTGGGTCATGGAGCCGGAACTCCCTGAGCTTTCTGTCGGCTCTAGCGAACAGAGAATACAGCCTGGGTTACGTAAAAACATGGCTGACCAAAACCATCTGGGTCAAGACCTGGCTTGAGCTGCAGTTATCCCTGTCCTCTTTGGGAACCTGATAACAGACCCTGACCACAGGGTCACTGGAGCCTTGCAGTTCTCTTGCTAACTTCCTGAGCTGTTTCCAATGGCAGTTTCAAGCCTTCCCCTGCTGGGTCCATCCATTAAATGCCATAGAAAGGTTGACGTGGAGAACAAGGAATGGGAGCTGCTGTAATTGGATTATAGTAGGCTCAGTCCTCATGGAATACTCCCTGTTGCCTCATACGGTCAGATTGAACTCATTTTATCAAGCTCCTGATGTGGCATTCTGTCTTGTAGAATGTAAGGCTGGAATTGAATTAGCAACAGGAAGTAGAATTCCTCTAGATTTCTCTGGTGCCTCTCTGTGTTGTGCTCTCAGCATGCATGGTTGCCTGCCATGTATGTTGTGCTAACGAGTGGTGCCTGTGTTAATCTTTGTGCCAGTATCTGCATTTTCGTAGACCGAAAAGCTTTTTTTTTTTCTTGATTCCTTAGACAAAGCTGCGCATTCAAGCACAGCAGCTGCAGATGACAAGGACTTTGCAATAACTTTGATTTTCAGAGCTCTCCCAATTACCGGCGCCTGCGAAGCTGGGATTGTGCTGCCGTGTGGCATTCCTACAGTTTGCTCGGAGGAAAAAACTCTCGGTAACCTTAGAAACCGTCGCCTTAATCACTTCCAAGAAAAGCAATCGGTGACAAATGAGACTGTCTATATACAGTAGGCCACTTGGTCTCTCTTCAGATCTTAATAGGCTGCTGTTCATTAGTATGTGTAAAGAAATCACCTTCTATCAGCAAACATGACAGTCTCTAAAACAGCATTTGTGTGTCAGATCTTTTCAATAACACTTCTTAAAATTAACTGTTTACATTGGATTTGGACAATGGAACAGCTGTGCCAGTATGTGGCTTTTTAATGTTAGGCTGCCCCAGGTCTGAGTACAGTATGAAGGATGTTAGTTGGTGTTGGTACTTTCTTACTGCTAGACTGGAGTGAAACACTTGGAAAACAGGATTTATAAATGTCCCATATCTCCACCCTTTAGAAATTCTTCTGTTCACTTTGAAATTCCTGAGTGGTTTAACTCCAGCTTACATGTCCACAGTCCTTCTTGCAGCCTTCAATCCCCAGACTCCACTTTGCTATTGGTTTCCAACACAAAACATGGAGCCTCTGTTGGCTGGCCTCCTGTTGTCATGCTCCAGGTCTGTAGAAGAAGGTTTTCCCAGTATTCCTGCTTTTTATCCGCTGGCCTTACTGTTCCATTTTGTTTGGATCATATTTTGGACAGTGCAGAACTGTTGTGCTTAGCCCCTACTGTGTCACAGGTCCAGTGTCTTAGCCAGTAGCAGTTCCTGGTGGGACCATCTGCTTTGAAAGGAATACCTAATTTTCACTTCTTTACATGCTTTCAATAAACCACCTATTGTAAAGGGATCACAGAGACCTCTACTGCTGTAAAAGCACTGGCACATCTCTGCTTAAAGATATATTTGTAGCTAACATGGAACAACACATAGTTTGGAAATGCAGATGGAGCCTGACTATCTGATCTTTCAGTGTCTTTATGAAGCCGTTCACTATTTTGATTGACCCTTGACCATCTAAACCTTGTTTAAGGGACACATGTCAGGAATCTCTTTTAAAAAATGCTTCCCTCACTGGTGCGGGCCCTGGGTTCTGTTTCTGCTTGGAGTGCCATGATCTCCATATATCTCCATGGGTTTTCTGCGTTTTCCTCCTGCCTTTCACAGACACACTGGCCCATTTCAAGGGTTTTTGAATTGCCGCTGTGCATGAGTATGTGTGTGCTCTGCAATGGACAGACGTCCCTATGCTTCCATAGGTTGTTATGGCTATTGGTTTTGTATTGTGTTTATTTTTTCCTGTGTTTTCCTTTTATTTATTTAATTCTTTCGAATGTATAAGCACTTTACAAAGCTTTACATGCTTACACAAATGCTGTAAAGAATAAAGAATATCGTTCTTATTACAACGTTTTAGGGAAGACTTACTTTCACATTGTAAATGCTCATGATGTTCCCACAGTTGTCCAGGTACTGCTTCAGGTCACTGTCCTGAGAAGATGAGGAAGAGAATTCAAGACTGATATACCCACAAGGGAAAGGCAACTATTCAAGATCAAAAAACATTCTATTCATCCACCGGAATGCATCTTTAAATCACTTAAAAGCCTTCCATGCTTGTTACCAGAAATCTAATCCCTTTAACTGCAGGCTGCGCACAGCGTGACTACAGAACGTCTGTTAAGCCAGTTCTGTGCTCTTTAAAGCCCTATACAGTGCACATTGAGGCCAGGCTGACAATCCATAGCACTTAACAGTATCACAGTTCTGGTCTGGTTGTTTAAAGGAACAGGGAAATAAGTAAGAAGAAACACTCTGTCCTGGAAACGATCAAGCTATTTCAGTTTTTTTTTGCCTATTGTGTTACATTGTGTTCTTTTTTATGCTTAAACATAACAATTGCTTACAATAAGTTTTACTTCAGAATAGAGCTTCCACCTTTCTTTTCTGTCTTCAGCTAAAACCAAATATTTATGTAAACTACATTACAACATTTTGATACCTACTGTCCCATCCCTCCCTAGATTTAAATTGCTGTTAGAAAATTAGAGGCTAATTTTCCTACGAGACTCAAAGCTGTAACTTGTACATGAATTGTTTACGGTAAAGAAGCAGCTGTAATGAAAGTCCTTACCAGATACTCAAAAACGAGGGTGAGAGAGCGATCAGTGTGAATGATGTCATGCAGAGTCACAATGTTGGCGTGTTTGAGGTTCTTTAGCAGCGATACTGCAACAACAGGATATTACAGGTAGGGAGCATGAGTGTCCATTACTAATCCTCGAGCCAGATTGCAGCAGTGCACCAACATAAAAACCCTCCTACACAGCTTCTCTTTGGCCACAAGTCAGATTTCGGACACTGCACTCTCACTAACTCATTTATAAATTTGCTGGTAGCTGATCTCAAGTGTTATTGCCAGCACATTTCCCCTGTTATAGTCTCATGAAAAAAGAAAAAAAAATATTATTAATGCAATAAAAATATAAGAAAGAGCAAACAGTTGAAAATGTACTGTATTTAACCTTTGCTTTATCCCCAGTCCTTGCTGTTTCTCGAGTTAATCCAATGTATTGCAGTTCTCCCTTTGTCCAGCAGGTGACAGCAAAGTTGCATCACCATCAACACCGCAACACTGAGACAGTTCAAGCACCCATAACCCTAACCTTATGGTTTCTCAGTACAGTACCTTCACGAATAGCAGTACAAGGGGCGCCTTCCTCGTGCTCTAGTCTAATCTCTTTCAGAGCCACCAGGTTCTCTGTCAGTTTGCTTCGGCCTTTGAAGACTGTGGCATAGGTCCCCTGATGGGTGGAAGTGGAGATGCAGTTTATCATTGGGAGATACAAGCAGAAAGAGTGAGGGAGGCATAGTGTAGCAGCAAAAGAAGAAGAATACAAAGAAGTTTCTATAAATATGTTAGTGAGGCTTCTCACCAACAAAAGTAGGTTACCCATGTGAAGAAACCTGAAGAACTGTCGGCCTCCTTTGTCATTAACCCACTTCCTCAGACCCCTGTCTGTGGAAATGTTAAGTGCCTCTTCAAAGATGATCAAACTCTGAACCACCTGCTGTGGGTAGCTTGATCAGAACTTCATATGACTTAGACCTGTAATGCTATACACCACCTGCCTCACTGCCCTGACCTGGCAGCACCCAGTGATTTCTCTCTTGATCCTTTAATGCAGTGCTTTGTCCAGCAGAGGGCAGTGCAATGCAGCATTCACTCAAGTCTTGGCACCATTGCCCTTCAGCAGTGTGTTGTTATAATGGTGGGACATGAGTCCATACAGGTGTAGAAACTATGTGGATATGTGATATGTACCACAGGCTTGTCAATGGTTTCACATGTATTTACAAATGCAGTATTATAATAGATCATAGCCTTAATTATAGAAACAACACAGATTAATTATTGAAAGAGAGTGAAAATGGGACATTAACAGAGGCAAATGAGTGAGGGAGGTTAATGGGGATCATCACTCAGGTGTCTCCTCTCCCCAGACTGTTAGCACGTTGCCTGAGCAGGTTTGTGTCTAGTTTTCACCACTGCTACCTCCATCTGTCTTGCAGACAGTTAGGAAGGGCCCTCTTGCGTGGACACAGATAGATTAAACTTCTAGACAGATCCTTACTTGAGCGGATCTTCAGTACAGCTGCCAGATTAAGTCGTCACAACTGCTCAGATCTCATCATGTCTACACTTGTGAATCGCAGTGTAATTTTGTATGACAGGACCCTGTGCTACAATTGTAACTTAAAGACACAGGACAACCTGAATGAGGGTTGACCAAGTCAGAGCTCCTATAGCATATCCATCTTTTCTTATCTACTGTCCCACACCTAGCTCAGTGGTGAATGATTATGAATTTCCACAAAGGTTTTCATTCCTTAACCCAGTTCTGCTAACCTGGAACCTGCAAGAGGACTAGCAAACAGCTGGAAGAGTTGAGCGGGTTTTAGTGGGACCAGTAGGGAGCGCTCACCCTGGGAGTCTGTGTGAGTCCTAATGCCCCAGAATAATGATGATGGGGAAAAAAAGGTGCCATCCTTCAGATGAGTGTCAGGTCCTGACTCTCCATGGTCATTAAAAATCCCAAAGTGTTTCTCGAAAAGAGTAATGGTGTTAACCCTGGTTTCCTGGTCAAATTCCCCTCTGGCCTGTACCAGTCATGGCCTCCTAATAATCCTCATCTATAAATTGGCTCCATCAGTCGGTTCTCCTCCCCACTAATAGCTGGTGTGTGGTGAGCGTATTGGCGTAATATGGCTGCCATCGCATCATCCAGGTGGGGCTGCACATTGGTGGTGGTGGTGGAGGGGAGTCCCCATTACCGGTAAAGCGCTTTGAGTGGAGTGTCCAGAAAAGCGCTATATAAGTGTAAGGAATTAAGTACTACTACAAGTACTACGACTACTACTACTAATAATAATGGGATGACAGGAGTTTGTGAGTAATTGCTGGCAGAATGTCTTGCTTTGTGCTATGCAGATATTTGTAGATTTTCATGAACGCAAAAATGTAGTCTATAATGATTCTTTTCCTCTTGCCCAAATTTTGACCTCTAGTATATATTTTGCATTTGTGCTCACTTATGTCTATAGAACCGCAGTTATGAGCTTGTATGTTTAATTAATTCATTAGGACACACTTTCTGTGACTCACTATGTATACAGGATGTCAATATGTAAAAAAATAACAATGCTGATTAGACAAGATGAATGAGTGAATAATCTGCTTTTGAATACAGGGTTACAGTTTACACTGCAGCTGTGTGATTTATTTATAATTGTAAACCCTGGAGCAGTTTTCCCTGAATGGTTCATCCAGTAACAAACGCTTACTCATTATAGTAACTGACAGTCTTCCACCAGACCCTCTGAGACATATTGTCTTTGCTGCACACTCCTAGAATCATTCATGTGTCAGAATATATTTTGGGCTTTTTAAGAATTTGTGTTTGCGGCACATCTCAGACAGGCCAGAAAAGCAGGTTTGGAAAAAAGATGCTCTGATAATCATGAAGTACTGGTTCCTCATTTATGTAATTCTTTATGGAAAGCTGCCCTGCGGAATAAGGTTTTTGGGATTGATGGAGATTGGGTATTGCAAATGACGAAGAGCATGTGATAAGCTTTTAAAAATAGATTACAGAAGAACACCACACTTTCTTAAAATAGGCAAGACTTACCTCCCCGAGCTTGTCCAGTTTCACATAGGTCTCCAGTTTCCCAAAGCCAATGTCAGACTGAAGAAATCAAATATCCATGTGCATCCATCCCAGAGGTGGGCAGTGAGCACAGACAGAACAGACAGGTGTTAGTTCTAGCTGTTTAAAAGCAGGACATGTGTTAATTCTAATGGTTTAACAACAGGTCTAATATTTCGGCTATGGTGGTGGGTTACTTGTCTTGCAACAGATAATTTGAAAGGTACAAGGAAGCTCAGGTAGACACATTCAGGCATCATTGATAATTCATACCTAGCATGCATAAATAATAAAAGTAATTACAGTGCTTGGATCTAGTTATCTTGTTTGTTTAGATAACACTATACTCTCCTTTACTTATCTGTGTTGTGAAGCAATATATGTTTATGGTTGTACAGCTATAAATGACTGAAGCAGAAGTATTATTAATATATATATATATCACATCTGTACCTCCACTGCCCAATTTGTATAAAAGCCTAAAACTTTTGAAACCTGTAGGGATCAGCCCGCTATGCAATAACACAGGGGTGTGAGTGTGGGGGTGTGTCCTGGGGTGGGGGGTGGGGTTGGCTGCGACACTGACCAATGAGGCTCGTCGTGACATTCGGCTCAGGGGCTTGGAAGCTGGAGGACTTTCCAGCTGGAGCTTCTGCAGGAAGTCCTGTGGGAGACGGATGTCCACCGGCAGGGACATCCTCTTGCTGACATCCTGTCCAGGAGAGACATCACATGGACAAGGTGAAGAGGAGGTCCTCCTCCTGCTTGTGTTATTTTAACTAGGTTAATCCATGGGAAACTATCGTTTAAGGGCTCGTCCTTCAAGGCAAGAAGAGGATTGAGGAAATTGGACCTCAAAGTGTTGTGATTTTATGATGGTCTCCAAATCGTCCTAAACTATAGGTCTTAAGGACTGCAGATGAGTACTTCTGTTGCTGTAAGTGACCCCTGCTGGTCAGACAGACACATGGTAATGGTATAAAGTCAAAGTGAAAACCCACAATCACATGAGAAATGCTAGCTGTTCTGCACTGAAGTGGCTGTCTGGCTTCAGTGGAAATGATAAATACGTCTTATTCAATCCTGTCTGCATGCACAGGGAACTGGAGGCATGCTGTGTTTTAAACTAGTGTAGACTCCCATCCCTTCAATTCAAGGTCCCAGGTGTGTGTCAGAACTGTGCTGTGGTTACAGAGATTGGTAGTTTCAGGGCATGGAAAGATTCCCTTGGGAAGTATAATAATAGCCGCAAATTTAATTCCTGAGCTGGTAAATAAAAAATTGAATTGGAGTGGCAAGGTAACCCAATAACGTTCTTCCGGTATGGATTATTTCTCTGTGCTGCAGTAAAGCCTAGAAAGAGAAGCATTTATGTGGTAAGAGTGAACTTTTTTTAAGAGCATAAAGTATTTTTGTTGCTTTTATAGTACCATGTGAAGATGCTAGTTATTGCAAAAACAACAATAATAATAGTCGCATTCCTCCTGTAGGGAAGACTCCTCTTTGGTCATTCAAGCTCTTCCACACAATCAAACTGGATTGGATGTCTGTGTGAAAAGACTGTTATTACACATAAAGGCTGTGATAAATCCGAGCGTTTAACTCCAGGCTGCAATTTCATTTTATTTTTGGAATACAGAAAGACATCTAATAATGTTACAGACAGGGTGCAGAGTATAATGGAAGCAGCCTGTATTTCTATGAACTCACTCATCAGCGTGTTAAATTGGAGGTTTATGACAGATTTTTTTTTTCACCGTCAAGGTGACAAAACAGTAAAGATGAAAAAAAAAATCCCTGAGAGGGATTTGATTTTTACATTGTGAGATCTGGAACTGCATTGATCCGCGACCTTCAAACAGTGTGTGTTTATATTGATGCCAACAGGAGGGGTAATATCTTTTTCCTGTTTCCTGATCATTTTCACTAGTTTTGCAGCATTGTGTCTGAATAAATTAGAGATGTGCAAGAAACCTTCTCTGCTGGATACTTGGAAGTACTCTGTAGGTTTTATTTTCTGGAAATAAACACATTTAATGTCTCTTCCAGTAAAGCTCAGCAAGTTATATTTTTTATTTATTCAGGTTTTTTCTTTACAGACTCCTTCGCCTAGTAATTTGAGCGGCATTTGCAACAACTTTGCTCCTTTAAATGAAGTCCCCCACAACAGAGATACTAGTGATGGTTTATTTAACTGCATTTTTTCCAGAGAATGTCAGAGCCTACGAGATGTACTGTGTTCCTTCCCGTTTCTGCTGCTGTGTAATGACTTTCAACTGGATTTCAGACTCACATCAGTCATTGGCACAGCGATCAGTGGCAGAGAAGTGTTTTGAACTAGGAACCTCCTGGTAACAAGGCCTTTACTTAAACAGCAGAGAACTTGTTACCAATGCTGGTTAAACAGCAGAAGACTAGTTACTAGGGCTGGCTAAATAGTTTAGGGCTTGTTTAACAGCTAAAGACTTGATAAAGAGCAAAGGACTTCCTGCCAGGGCTGGTTAAACATTGGAGGGCGTGTTACCAGGGCTGGTTATTATAGTTAAAGGCTTGATAAACAGCATAGAGTTTGTTACCAGGGCTTGTGAAAATGGTAAAAGCTTGTTAAACAGAAGAGAACTTGTTACCAGGGCTAGTTAAATAGTTAAGGGCTTTTTAAACAGCAGAGGACTTGTTGCTAGGGCTGGTTTGTTACCTGACCTGGCCCGAGTCAGTGTGGCTGTCGTAGCAAGTCCCTCCCCCTTCCCATGTAACTTACCTCCATGGAGAATCGGCGGTGCTGGTGGCGGCTGTGGTACCGCAGCTGTGTGGGGGACTGGGTGCTCTCTTCACAGGGCAGGGGGCTGTGGTCTGGGTGCAGGGCACGCAGCCGCAGAGTGTCCGGGACCAGGTCTGGGAAGGGGAACAAGTGAAAGATTCAGCGGTTCTCAGGACTCGCTTAACACAGAGGAGAGAATGTGAAAAATGTGTTATAGCAACCGCATACTACTGGCTTCTCGATAAAAACATTCCCATCTTCTGGGCCACAGATATGTCAGAGATACACCAGCCCGGGATGGACCGCGACTGGAGTCCATATACTGAGCCCTGCGGTACCCAAACAGGAGGGATGGAAAGATCTCTGAATTGTCACAGGCAAAAAAATTGATGCCAACGCAGCCATCGATATGCAGTATTTATCTAGCGCTGTTTCCTGATCTTTTTCTTTAACCTTCAAATTCACAAATCTGTAGACCGTGCCAGTTCTTTGCTGAAAACAGGGATAACTTCCATGCCATGTATGATCGTCATTTTTTGGAAAACTCTGGCTTCTGTCACCTTGGTAGACCTTGGTTTTTTATTAGTTTTTTCCAGTGCTACTGGGAGTAATAGGAAATAATCACACAAAGGCTGCTTAAATGAGGGTCTAGACTTATTGAGATTTAATGGAACATTTAATCAAACAAATAAGATGTGAAGCTTATTTGTCATTATAAAACCATTGCCAAACCTGATTTAGCAGACAAGTGACTCTAAAAATGCATTGCAATTCAGTAAGTACTTAACCTCTATAATGATGTACATACAGTGAAAAGCCTTTCACATGCAATCCAACTTTACATTTGATAAATGACTTTAAAATCAAATTGCCCATGTAGTTCCTTGCATCTAATGTAAGACTGCTTTATTGAAATGCAAAGTGCATACTCTGCATGTTTGTGTGCTGTGTGCAATGGTACAGACAAACTATATTTTAGCACAGCCTGACACCTGACACCATTTCAAGCTGGGACTATTTCCATCCTTATAATATCCCTCTATCCAAAGCTGCTTATCTGTGGTGAGGGTTGTGGCCACCCAGAACGTACTCCTGAAAATATAGGACACGAGGCAGGACTACGCACACTACACAGGGACATTGAGATGCCTAGGGATGCTGTCTTTGCAAGGATGCTTCTGGAGAAATCTGGGAGAAGACACAAACTCCACACAGATGGTGCCACATGTTTGAACCCAGGACCTAAAAGAGCTGTGAGACAGCAGCACTGAATCCCCATCACCATTTGTTATAACATCCATCCAATCCAGAGTTGCAGGGAATACAGGAGCCTAAACTGGTGTCAGGGCTGAGTTTACACTGAGGCACAGGGACTCACTCTACCCTGAAGGTCAGAACCAGGGGCTTCATCCTGGGAAGGCTTTATTGCAGCTCAACGTGCAAACCACAGGAGTTACCTTGTGAAGGACACTGAGAGGGTGCGTGCCTGGCACTACTGAGACTCTCGCCCCTGAGAGGCACAAACCCAAAGATCTCTGGGCAGAGCAGGTACAGTATAGTCTCTCTAATGCTCCTACAAAGTTAATTCCTTTGGAGACAACTCTTAAGGTTACATATTAGGTCATAAATGAGAGGCAAGCTTTTTGGTAATAAAAAAACGTTTTTATTTTATTTAGAAGCCTTATAGGTATCACAGATGTAAAGCAGTATAGGATTCATATGGTAATACCAAGGAGGACTAAGCTATTACAAAACAGGAATTAAACAATGAGCTTACTGATGCCAGGAGTCTTCTAATGAAGAAAAACAAAAAGCAATTTTAAGCATAAAACCAAATACTTTTCCTAGTCTAACCAGTCCAGCCTTTGATATAACTACTGTAAGTCCCACCTTTATGAGTAAGAGACTATTCTACTACCGAAGCAACCCAGAGAGTCTCCCTTTTATACTGTTTCACAAGTCCATTCTCTAATTTTTCATTCTTTTTTTTTGTACAAACTCTGAAAACTCAGTTTTCAGTGCTGCGGTCTTCAGGGCTGAAGTTATCTTCTGCCCATTTGAGAAACTCATCTAAGATCTCTTCCAGTTGTGCTGTTCTAGTTTTTCTCTCAGGGGTCAGAGCAGCAGCAGGTAGAAGAGGGGACTGAGCCCTCCAAGTGATCCTTCTGACCCTGGTGCTCCCTGGCACTCCCTTGACACTGGCAAGCAATGGGCACAAGACAGGGTACACTCTAGATGGGACACCAGTCCATCACAGAGCGCACACACTCACAGCAGGGTCAGTTTTCCCACAAGCCAATTCACTTACAATCATGTCTTTGGAGGAAGAGGGAATTATGGGACACACCTTCCTCTCTAGGAGCTGTTGTCTGGCTCCGAAGCCTACCCAGCCTGTAAGGGCAAGTTAGATTGTTGAGCTGCCTCAGAAAC